CCAGCAGGCAAGGTTGCGGTGCCGGGAGCGGCCACTGCACTCCAGTCTGGGCGACCGAGTGAGACTCCAACTCAAAACAAAACAAAACAAAACAAAATTACCTCCTTAATTCATTAATCCAAATTATCTCACAACCTGGTTGTTCATCAGAATCCCCAGTGGAACATCCTGGTCGTACAGGTGCTCAGTCCCCTGCTCCAGGTCTGTTGATTCAGAAGGTTTAGGATGGCACTGAGTCTGTGGATGTTCAGAAAGCTCACGGGTGCTTCTGAGGCACAGCCAGGGTGACAGCCACGGCCTCATTTGTGGCCTGTTGCTAGATTGGCTTCCCTTATCCAAAGTACTCAATTCCCTCTCATTTCCTGTGGTATCAAGTTTAAATGCCACTGCCTCATATTTTGGGCCTTTCAGAATCTAGTTAACCATATTTACCTAATCATCTTTTTGGCATCAGAGGAAAAAAGGCATTCTCTTCATTTTGGCAACTCTCTTTGTTCAGTATCCCATCAGCTCTGGTAAGTGGTGTGCAGACACAGCACACTAATGAGTGTAAAGGAGCAAGGAGTGACCCAGGCATTGGGCATCAGGCAGGGGCAGTGAGAGACCAGCTGGGAAGCCTGGAGGCAGTAGGGCCAGGCACTGCTGTTAAACCACTTGCCCTGGATGTGTTTGCCATCATTTTGTAGGAAGGCACATCATGTTCAAGAACAAGGGCTCTGGAGTGAGGCAGATCTGAATTCAAGTTTCTGTCTTTTCACTCACACATGTGTAAACTTGGATAACTTGCTTAACCTGTCTCAGCCTTGCTTAACTGTTAAATGAACTATCTCACCATGTTTCTTTGGGCTTTAAAAGTAATAATCTATGCAAAGTGCCAAAAAACAGTGCCTGGCATAAAGCTTTACTAAATGGTAACAGCTACGGACAAAAATGATGGACATTCCCCTTGCCAGATTAAAACTACAACTCTGCCCCTTCCGTTTTTCCTTCTCCTCTGACCTCAGAACAAGGTCCTGCTTTGCTTTGTTGCATTTTTGAACTGCAGAGTTAGGAAGAGAAGGGGTGAGGAGAAGGACAGTATGTCCCCAGGACACTGGTTAGGACTGACTTAAAAAACTTCCAGGGGGTGTTTTGAGGTGAGAGGTACAGAAAATCCTACTTTGTAGGTGGGAGCTAATATAGGCACACAATATTTAAAAAACTATTTCATAAATATTACCCTTGTCCCTATGTGGTGATCAGGAATTAATGAACCTAAGCATTTTAAATTACTTTTAGATTGCTGAGCTATGTCATTCTGATTGCAACACTTCATGGAGGCTGAACCACATGTGAGCTACAACACTAACATGGCTACATATTAGGATTGAATTTGGGAGGCAAATCCTAAAGATCAAAGACTCTCAACTTTTGGAACTTTATACCTCCCCTAGGTCAACATCTCAGACAGTGGTCAGAGGTCAAAGTCTGATCCCTGGACCAACAGTA